GCCCTGCCTGGGGTGGGGCGGTGGCGTGTTGCACAAGCAGCTGCGTTCCTCTGAGAGGTCCGCCAGGGCAGCCACAGGGAGACCAGGTCGTTACACGCGGGTCCCAGACCAGGCACCAATGGGGAGCGTGGGGGGGCAGGCAGGAGAGGGGAAGGTGAGGCCAGGCCTCTGGGCTTTCCCCGGGAGGGGCAGGCGGGCAGGGGGCTCTTGGGGTGGCTGGATTGAACAACTGGGGGCTTGGGGCTGTCGGCCTGGTCCCCGGTTGCCTGGCACCTGGCCCTGGTCTCAGGCTCCGGATGGCAGGTGGGCGGGGGTCCCAGGCAGCCCAGGCTCCCGGCCGCGCTGGGCGGGGTGTCTCTCCAGCGGGAGGCAGACATCAGAACAAGCGGGAACCCCCCACCCACACCCAGAGCGAGTGCTCTGCCGCCCCTGAACCCGGTGTGGGACCCGCTCTGCGTACAGACAGCTCTGTTTTCCGACGTCAGACGCGTTTTTATTGCACGGGGGTCACGTCCTTGGACATGTCTCCACTTGGTCCACGACTGCTCTGCTCTCCACGCAGACTGCTGCTTCCCTTCCGTCCGTGGTGGCCGCACCGAAACCCCGGTCTTCACGCCCTGTGACTTACGTGGAGGGCAGAGTGTGGGTACAGGGCCCGGCACCCCGTCATCAGGGATGAACACGTCTTCTCATTCTGAGTTACAAAGTCAAGTCCCCGCAGACTTGGACCGGGACAGGGCGAACCGTGTGCTGTCCACTGGGCAGTCACTGGGGGGTACGGTCTGGAACCGCGCCCCCCCACACGCCCCTGGCCCCCCAGGTCTCCCCACACCTTCTGCTGAGGTGACAGAGCCCTCCCCCGCTTAAAGCTATGCCTACAGCCCCGTGCCAGGGACTCCTCTCACCACACTCACAGTGTCTCCAGCGCGGTGACCAGCTCCCGGGGAGTCTGACCAGCTCCCGGGGGTCTCACCAGCTCCGGGGATCTGACCAGCTCCCAGGAGGGGCCGCAGAATCCGCGCCTGTCCACGACCCTGCGCTGCCCGTGGCATGGTGGGAATGCCCAGTGCTTCTGAAGGATTTCTGTACCAATTCTTTTCACCTCCATTAGCTGATCTCTCCAGGTCCGTCCACCCCGCCTGCCTGTCCCCCGCCTCGGCGCGGTGGCTCCCTGAGCTGTTTCCCTCTCATGCTCCCGGCGTGACTTCTCACTGCCCGGTGGTGTCTCGGACACGTTTTCCCTGTGAGCCTCGTCCCTTCTCCCCAGGGCGGCCTCCCCTTGGGTCACAGTGGCTCCAGCCTGTCCGGAGTCCCCGGCTGCACATCCTGAGACATGGTCACTCCTGTGAGCCCTGCGCCCCAGCAGCAGCAGCCGCGTCTCCACGTCCCAGCAAAGCAGCCCTGAGCCGCCATGCTGTGTGCGTGGAGCCAGGGCCTCCTGGCCACAAGGCGCTCCCTGTGCGTGGAGCTGAGGACTGGCCGAGGGGC